CATATGTTGTTCACATGAACACGATTTTATTCATATGAACATCATGTGAAGAAATTTCATTCATATGTCAATCATGTGAAGAAACCTTGCATTCACATGATTATCACATGAAAAAAACTGCACCACATATGAATTCATATGTTAATATTCATACAAGAAACAACAAACTCATGAATTCATGTGTCCTAATGCAAAAGGAACAAAGCCAACATATGAAGTCATGTGTCTTAATTAAAAGCAAAGCAACCACACATATGAATTCATGTGTTGTCCTGTGCCAAACAACAGAACAACACATGACTTCATATGTTGTCCTGTGAAAACAAGAGAACACCACATGAATTCATGTGTTATCCTGTGCCAAACAACAGAACAACACATGACTTCATGTGTGGTCCTGTGAAAACAAAGGAACACCACATGAATTCATGTGTCGTCCTGTCCTGTGACTATCACACACCCACCCACACACACACACACACACACACACCCACACACACCCACACACACACACACCCACACACCCACACACCCACACACCCACACACCCACACACCCACACACCCACACACCCACACACCCACACACCCCCACACCCACACACCCACACACCCCCACACCCACACACCCACACACCCACACACCCACACACCCACACACCCACACACCCACACACCCACCACCCACCCACCCACACCCACACACCCACACACCCACACACCCACACACCACACACCCACACACCCACACACCCACACACCCACACACCCACACACCCACACACCCACACACCCACACACCCACACACACACCCACACACCCACACACCCACACACCCACACACCCACACACCCACACACCCACACACCCACACACCCACACACCCACCACACCCACACCCCCACACACACACGCACACACATGCATAAATACATACACACACACACACATGCCCATGTGCACCCCACCCCCCAACCACCCAACCACCCCTACCACACCCCCCACCACCCCCTACCACACCACCCTACCCCCACCCCCAACCACACCCCCACCACCCTGCCACCCTACCCCACCCCACGCCGCCCCAACCCCACCCCACCCATGCTTAAGCCACAATTTGTCAACACAGAGATCGAAGCCCCAAAACAGGAGCAAACCCAAGCCTATATATCGACCTGAAACCTTAAATTAATTCCAAAACCCGAAGACCCCCCCTTCCAAATAAAACTATATACTTATATAATCTGTAAACACATTAAACCATGCACTCCGCCAAGACATGTTGCCTGGACAAACAAGACTATAGATCGAATAGAATAACATTCCATGTCTGGACAGACACGGTATAGAGATTGAGTGTGTCTGGACAGACAAGGAAATTTTAAAGAGATTGATTAGTGTCTGGACAGACAAGGAAATTTTAAAGAGATTGATTAGTGTCTGGACAGACAAGGAAATTTTAAAGAGATTGATTAGTGTCTGGACAGACAAGGAAATTTTAAAGAGATTGAATAGTGTCTGGACAGACAAGGAAACAGAACAGACAGGAAGGATAGTCCTTTTCATACCAGAGTTTTGTCTCAAGAGATCGACAGCTAGGAACATAGCTTGAGAGATCGAGCCATGAAAAAGCCTGCAGCTGTGAAGGCGGTCGGGAAGGTTCTAAAGCCGATCCTGAAGAAGCCCTCGTTGCTTCTTCCTGTTGAGAAGAAGAAGGCGGCCAAGAAGGACGAGGAGAAGACGAAGCCCGAGGACACCACGAAGGACGAGAAGCCGCCCACGAAGAACAACAAGCAGTCCAAGAAGGAGCCGTCCAAGGAGGAGAAGAACGACAAGAAGCCCAAGAAGGAGCAGTCCAAGGAGCAGAAGAACGACAAGCAGTCCAAGAAGGAGCCCAAGGAGAAGAAGAACGACAAGACCAAGGAGTCGAAGGCAGGGCACGAGGAAGAGCACGTGGAGGACGAGGAAGAGCCGGAGGAGGAGCACGAGAAAGAGAACGACCCTGAGGTCAGCGAGCCGGAGAAGACGAAGGAGAAGTTCCCGCTGAGCTTGACGAACATCAAGACGCACTCCGAGTTGTTGGAGGTGAAAGGCTGGTCGGGCAAGGAGGTCTTCAACGCCTTTAAGATGTTGCCCTCGAGTGAACAACAGATGGTCTGGAAACTCTTTGAGAAAGGACGGCAAAAGGAAGGATGTGATGCATCCTACCGAGACCAGACAAGCGGTGCCGGTGGAAACAAGAGAAAGCAAGACATGTTGACCAGCTGGCTTCTTGATGAAGGGAAGTGCGGGAAGTACTACCAGAAAGCATGCTTGCAACTGACGAAGATGAGCTCGCACCAGGTTCAGGTGACTTGGGAACCCTGGAAAACCATGCAGAATCGCTACGGCAAGACGGAGGCATTGGCCCGCTTGAAGGCGGGAACCATGAAATGGAGAAGATCGAAGACAGACTCGAACTTTTTGGAGTTCGCCAACGTGCACGACAAGGAATCCGAAGGCTTTGAGAAAAGGAAGAGCTGCTCAGTGCAGGGCCCCGACAAGAAGGTCGGCAAGAACAGGGCTCTCGCCTTGGACAAGCTCACTTTCGAGGAGCTGCAGGACATGGAGCAGGTGAAGGAGATGAAGATCGACCCCGACTTGAAGTCTGTCATTACGAAGATGAATGATGACCAAGACCAGAGCTCCAGCGACGAGGAAGACAGCGAGTCCAGCCACGCGAAGAAGGTGACGATCACGAAGAAGAAGAAAACGAAGAGGACTTCCTCATCGTCGAAGTCGAAGGCGAAGAGCATGGATTGGGAGAAGTTGTCGCAGATTGAGGAGACAGACAACAAGAGTGAGTTCAACAAGAAGTTGACCCTCTTCAAGTCCGAGCTGCAGAAGGAAGAGACCTTCTTTGAGATGCTGCTCCTGGAGTCGAAGCTCAGGAAGAACGAGAAGAAGGACGTCCAGCAGAACCTGGAGGATCTGTCGAAGACCTTGAAACAGGTGGGGTCGGGCATTGAGAACCTCGCCAGTAAGGATGCTGTGAAAAAGAGCCTCCTGATGGCCCTCAAGTCGTTGAAGGCTTCGAAGAACCTGAAGAAGAACTTGGCAGTCTGCAAGGAGACCCAGACCAAGGACAAGAAGCTCAAGCGCCAGAGCAGTGATGCAGAGAGCTGAGCCCTTTCGATTTTGAGATCAATCGATTTGAACATAGGTTTTTGTGACCAAGCGGCTGAGGCAGACTGAAACTCGATCAGTCCTAGACCGAAGCCTTAAGACTTGGAGGTGAAGTCTCGCTTCCAAGAAGACCGAGACGAGTGCAGAATCAGGGCCGAGCCGTGAAAAAGCTTGAAGCAAGTTTGTTCATGCACGTTCACTTGCCATGTTTATTGCTTTTGATATTCGTCGTGGTAGGCAGATGCTGGAGAGGGAAATACACTTGAGTATGTAATGCCTGGACAGGCAGAATGTCGGTCGGCATATTGCAGTTCCTAAGCATTAATGCCTGGACAGGCACTTCCGAGCATTAATGCCTGGACAGGCAGGACATATACTGCACTTCCAGGCATTAATGCCTGGAAGTGCACTTCCGAGCATTAATGCCTGGACAGGCAGAATATATACTGCACTTCCAGGAATTAATGCCTGGAAGTGCACTTCCGAGCATTAATGCCTGGACAGGCAAAATATATACTGCACTTCCAGGAATTAATGCCTGGACAGTCACTTCCGAGCATTAATGCCTGGACAAGCAGAATATATACTGCACTATAGGCATTAATGCCTGAACAGGCACTTCCGAGCATTAATGCCTGGACAGGCAGAATATATACTGCACTTCCAGGAATTAATGCCTGGAAGTGCACTTCCGAGCATTAATGCCTGGACAGGCAGAATATATACTGCACTTCCAGGAATTAATGCCCGGACAGGCACTTCCGAGCACTAATGCCTGAACAGGCAGAATATATTGCACTAGGCATTAATGCCTGGACAGGCACTTCCGAGCATTAATGCCTGGACAGGCAGAATTTGCTGCACTTCGAAGCATTAGTGCCTGGACAAGCAGAATGGAATCCGATGATATTTGATGCAGCTGCTCGAGCATGTTTTCGAAGATGTAGATTCACCCAAAGAGGTGAGAAGTGAGAGAGGCCATGGGGAAGAAGAGGAAGGCTAACCTTCTTGAACCGGCCCCGTCGCCTCTGAGACTCTTGTTACTGGAAGAGTTCGCTTTTGGACGACTTTCAGCTGCTCAAGTGCAAAAAATGGCGAGTGCAGCAGTTCGGAGCTGCAAAGAACCCAGCCCAGACCTGGCGAGTTTGCAGATGCTGGGAGGACAAGGCACTAGTGCTCAGAACTGCCACAGAGACTTGATGAAGATGCTGAATGTGTGCAGAGCGCCAGAAAGTACCTTGATCAGCACCCCGGTGTCCTTGAGAGACAAGAAATCTGGTGGTGCCGTGGTGGAGTCGAAGCAGGTGCCTTTGCTTCTTCCCCACGAGTGGTTCGATGTGCTGGAGAAGAACGATGTGCTGGAGATGTTCACTGCAACTTGGCGAGTACTTTGAGCTTTGAGTTTTGTGTTTTTTGCAGGTTTTTTTTGGCAGGGTTTTCTCAGTGGTTAAGGATAAAGTTTAACTTTGATTCGCTGCTATTGGCTTTTTCAGAAATATAAGGCAACAAAGAATGAGATCCGAGAATTTTGGCAATGCCAAAACTTTCGAGAAAATGAACAGCTGTGGAGAAGCAGACAGTTCTGGAGAGACGTGAATGTGATGGAATCGCTACCGGTTCCGTTGATCCTCCACGGCGATCACGCCTCTTTCAGCGAGACAGATTCGCTCTTGATTATAAGCATGCGATGCGTGATAACCAAGAGGTCGATTAAGACCTCGGAATTGCTGATCGGCTGTTTGCCGAAATCAGCAAATGCTGGATCGTGGCCAGCTTTGTGGGACAAAATCTGTGAAAGTTTGACACTGTTGGCCTCGCGACACAAAGCTGTGGTCATGGCTTTGGTAGGAGACTTGGAGTTCTTCTCGCAGGAATTCGGATGGCCTACTGCGAACAGCAATAATTTGTGTCCTTACTGCAAGTGTGACAACCTTTTCAAAGATGCAGATGCTGTCGCCCCGTTCAATGACTTCAGAGCAAGTGCTGAGTGGAGAAAGCAACCCAGAGAACCAAGAGAAAATGATCACCCTTTGTTTAAAGTTCCAGGGATCAATTTTTGGTCCCCGAAACTTGATGTGTTGCACATGCTAGACCTTGGAGTCAGTTCGCATTTGTATGGAAACTTGATCAACGACATCTTGGAGGACCACCTACCTGGGAGCTTCGCTGCATCCATTGGAGCTTTGAACTCAAGAATCCAGGAGCTGTACGAGAGTCAGTCGACCCCAGCTGCTGCCAGAATCCCGAAGTTGAGCAAAGGGAACATTCAAAGTCAGACTGGGTACCCGTGCTTGAGCCATGTGAAAGGGCGACGAATACGAGAGTTCTCGAGTGTGGCTGTGGGGTTGGCAGACTTGTACAAGGATACAGTGGCAGGAAAGCATCGTCTTGAAGCAGTGAAGGCCATGGACGAGATTTACGAGCTGTGTGACTGCCAGAAGTATCGCTTTGACAGAAAGGAGTAGCTTGCATGCATGTGAAATGAATTGAACTTTGAGCTTTGTGGTTTTCCCATATACCAAGTCCTGAACCTTGAAATAAACCGCATAAAGGTTAACATAAACGGCAGACTTTTGTTGTTGTTATATTGGATACCAGGCACAGAAGCATGGAGAAGGCGATTGACAGATTGCTCCTGCACTACACTTTCTTGAGCAGAGATGCTTTCAACAGAGGAAAGAAGAGGTACAGTGTCACCCAGAAGTTCCACTTGATGGCACATTTTCATGTTCAGTGTAAATGGATGGCACCCAGACTTGCTTGGACCTATGGCCCTGAGAGTTTCATGTCGGTGTGCAAGAAAATCGCTGCTTCATGTGATAGAGGAACGCCGAGCTACCAGATTCCACTGAAGATTTGTGGAAAATTCGCCTTAGCTTACGAGCTCCTGCTGCGAGGATGGCTGAATCTGGATGAAGATGAGGAGTGAGGAGAAAAAAAACGTGCTCAATAAGATTGAATCAATGTCTGGACAGACAAGTCATGCATGGTGCATGTTGTGTTTTAGGATGAAGTCGACAGGGCTGAATCAATGTCTGGACAGACATGTCGTGCATGGTGCATCTTGTGTTTAGCATATAATTTCATGGCTGAATCAATGTCTGGACAGACAGGAAAAGTAGCACACAAAGCAACCTAGTAAATAAAAAAGGTTTGCCAAGACCATCAATGTCTGGACAGACAGGAAAAAGTAGCACACAAAACAACCTGGTAAATAAAAAGGTCTGGCCAGACCATCCAGGATCCAGAAATCTTGAGCCGTATAAACCCTAGAAGGTCTATCCAGACCAGGCCAGGCATCCAGAATCTGTCCAGACTCACGGTTTAAGGTTTTAGGGCTTATTGTTTAGGGTTTATGGTTTAAGGTTTAGGTCTGTCCAGACCATTAAGAATCTGCCCACACTCACGGTTTACGGTTTATGGTTTAGAGTTTATGGTTTAAGGTTTAGGGCTTAGGGATCAGGGTTTGGGGTTTAAGGAACAAAGGTCTGTCCAGACCAAGCATTAATAATCTGTCCAGACTCACGGTTTAGGGTTTATGGTTTAGAGTTTATGGTTTAAGGTTTAGGGCTTAGGGATCAGGGTTTTGGGTTTACGGTTTAGAGAAAAAGGTCTGTCCAGACCAGGCACCAAGAATCTGTCCAGACTCGTTAACCCTATACTAAGAAAGAAGGTCTATCCAGACCAGGCATCAAGAATCTGTCCAGACTCTTGAAACCCTACATATAATAACCTATAAGCCCTAAACCATAAACCCCAAACCCCGGACCCTGAACCACAAACCCCGGCCTAAACCCCAAGCCCCCTAAACCCCATACCCCTATAGGCCCTAACCCCTATGTATATATGATATACATGTATGTATGTATGTATGTATGTATATGTATGTATGTGAATATATAGGCCCAAACCCTATGCGCCGAAACCCCTAAACCCCAAAACCCCTATAGGCCATAAACCCTATATATAGAAACCGCATAACCCGATAACCTGAACCCCAACTTAAACCCTATAAACATCAAACCCGGAACCACAAAAATCAAAACCTGCACTGAAACAATCTACATCTATCTATCTATGCATCCATCTATCTGTCTATCTATATCGATCTATGTTTCTTTACATATCTTCACATATCTCTATATATCTTTATGTGTCTTTATCTATTTATCTATCTATCTAGATATAAAATCCACAGTTGCCTCGATATGCTATATATACATATATGTGTATGTATGTATGTATGTATGTATGTATGTATGTATGTATGTATGTATGTATGTATGTATGTATGTGTATATATATATATATATATGTATATATGTATATATATATATATGTATATGTATATGTATACATATATATATATAGGCATATGTATATACACATACATACATAATATATATATATATATATATATATATATATATATATATATCAGTTTTGTTAGACAGGACAATACGAAATTTTGCGATGTCTACGATTGATTTTTAACATCCTACGCTCGATTCTTCGCTCGATTCCTCGATTGAATTTATGAAGGTCCCCGCTCGATTCCTCGATTGAATTTATACTTCGTGTACTATGTGGATCCTCGATTGATTTTATCAATCGAACGCTTGAATTTTTTTGTTTTTCGATCGGCGCTTGAAAACACCATCCTCGCTCGAAAAAAATCAATCGGAGAGCCTTTGGGAAGGAAGTTCGTAAAGCCCTAAACCTTAAGGAAGATGAAGTCTGTGAACTCCTAGGAAACGCCTATGGCCGAGTCGATGCTCCTCTTCTGTTTTACAAAGAGTTGAGCAAGCAGCTTCTCCAACTTGGTTTCGTCAAGCATCCTCTTGAGCCGTGTGTTTTTATGTTGTATTCAGGCAACACCTTAAATGGAATCTTAGGGGTTCATGTGGATGATGGGGTTTGTGGAGGCGACTCTAAGTTTACCCAGAAAATCAAAGAGCTAGAAAGTCGCTTACCATTTGGCAGTCGCAAATTTCAGAGCTTCATCTTTACAGGGATACATCTTGAGCAATTCCCAGATTTCTCAATTAGAGCCTCCCAAGGTGACTATGTGAAGAACATTCCCCACATCGACGTAGGCCGCCCTCGACGCCAAACACCCGAAGCCCAGGTGTCAGAGACCGAGCGTACTAAACTTCGAGGTTTAATTGGTAGTCTTCAGTATGCTGTGACCCACACCCGCCCGGATATGGCGGCAAAGCTTGGAGAGCTTCAGCATGCCATCACCAGCGCATCCGTGCAAACCCTGTTGACTGCCAACAAGGTTCTTCGGGAGACTCAGGAGCAAGCTCAAGTGTGCGTGTACTATCTCCCAATATCTGTGCCTGAGCTGACTTTTGTGTCCTTTGGTGACGCATCGTTTGCTTCATCGAAGAACCTTAATTCCCATGTGTGCGACTGATGGTCGCCTCGACCAGAACCTGGAAGCTCCCCTAGCACCCCTAACCTGGACCTCTAAGAAAATCCCAAGGGTAGTCCGATCGACCTTGTCCGCAGAAGCTTACGCTATGTCTAAGGCTGTCGATATGTTGGGGTGGATGAGGGCTCTTTGGGGTGTAGTACATGAACCAAAGTTTGATTGGCGTAGTCCCGAGCAAGGTTTCCAATCCCTTAATCCTGCCATCATTGTAACGGATTGTAAGTCCCTGTTCGATCTAGTCACCAGACTTGCTATGCCGTCATGCGAGGAGTATCGAACCACCCTAGAAGTTCTCTTGATAAAACAAAGGTGTGGCGAGAACACTCGTTTTCGATGGATTCCCACGACGTTGCAAGCTGCGGACTGTTTAACTAAGAACATGGATGCTAGTCTTCTTCGAGCCGTTATGGCCCAGGGTCGTTTCAAGTTGTTTGATGGGTCTAAGACTTTGGAAAAAGATGCGCAGCGCAAGCAGGCCATACAATGGCTGTCTAACCCTCCCGAGGAACACATTCCTTAAAGCACGGCAAACAAAAGGGCAGCTGCGGTCACCTGTGACCTCTCCCGAAAGAGTCTGTTGGTGACTCCGTACAGTGCGAGGATGATGAGCGGAACTTGTCCAATAAAGTTGGGCCCGTGTGAAATCTTCAGCGCGAAGGCACTTCGAGCTCCATTCACCTTCAGTTGGACATGTCCGCTCTTCCGCAACTCCGGGTTCAAGGTCCGGAGAGGGAGGGCACAGGGTTTACGTCTCGGGGAGACGCATGGACTCTTGAGCGATCGGTGAAAACAAGGCCGGAGCCTTGAACTGCACAGGCGTGCATATCTTTATCTGACCGGGTCAGTATACATTTCTTCTTTCTTCTTTGCTGCATCAGAATCTCCTATAGCGGGGCTATCTTCGAGAAGTTCTGAGCTGCATCCCATTGGGCTACCAGGGTGAACTTTATTGAGTTCACAACCCTAAACCCTAAACCCTAAACCCTACCCTCATAAACCCCAAACCCTACCCCAAACCCAACCCTAAACCCTACCCTAAACCCTAAACTGGAACCCAGAGCAAATGAGGAAGCGCCTGGAACCTCCAAGGAGGAAGGCGCCTCCAGGGTTTGTTGGGCTTTGGGGAGTTGAGGGCCTAGGGTTTGGGAGTTTACAGCGTAATTAGGCTTTAGGGATTTGTTTGTTTCTTGTTTTTTTGTTTTTTGCTTTTTTTTCGAACTGCAGGTTTAGGGAGTTTCGGGTTCAGGGTGTCTTACGGTTTTTTGACGCTCACACTCGGCGGTACCAGGCAAGTTCTGTAGGGAGACTTAGGTTCAAACTGCTTGAAGGGCTTTCCATTATACATTTCGTAGAGGCCCATGTGTGTTTACACGAGCTTGGCTTTGCTAGCCCAATAACATCTTCCGTAACCCTAAACCCTAAACCCTAAAGAAACAACTAGCAACCATATGTGACAGCAGACTCACCGGACATCAACAGGCCTAGTTCCCCACAAGAAGGAAGACCCCAAGACTTAGGGTTTAGGGTTTAGGGGTTTAGGGGTTAGGGTTTAGTTCCGATGTCACAGTGAGGCCGGTGAAACTCTTCCAGCCAGGACGGGTTCGAAGACACTTCACACACGACATGCTGGGGCTGTGCAGTACATGCATCCATGCATGTGGTCTTTAGGCCCACTTTAGGCGCCGGTGGAGCTAGATGTCATACCTTCTCTTTGCCCGCTGCTACAGCTTAAGCCAGGTACCCTCGAATGTGTCATCTCGTGCTCTGTCATGTCATCCACCGAGAGACGAAAAAGCTCATGACATCTCGCAGCTCACAGACAGCAGCTCCAACCCCCATTGCCCAACAGGCCCAAGACCCAAAACCATGAAGCCCATGAAGCCGCAACCAAGGAAAAGTACAACAGCAACTAAGCCCTCAACGCCAGAGAAACGACAAACACACGCTTAGTCGAACCAACAGTCACCAATACCCTAAGCAACAACAGACACGTATGTATATGCATAAAACCGTATGTACTCATGCATACATACATATAGAGCTTGTCTATATGTGTGCACGATAAGTACAGATACAAGTATACACGTGCGTGGTTGTCAAAATTAGGGCCCCTTTTTAGGTTCTTATTATATAATACGGCACCTACCATTAAGGGGTACCCAAAAAAGGGACCCTAATTTTGACAACTACCCAGGTAGATCGACACAGATCTAAGAAATTGAAGGCCGAGCCTGCAAGCGCGCAGGTCGCCCCAGACCTTCCCAGGACTCTCCGGGCATTCGGGGGGATATGGGTGTGTTTATAGCTCAGACCTTCCCAGTACTCAGACCTTCCCAGTAGTTACTCTCCGGGCATTCGGCGGGGAGGGGGGGGGGATATGGGTGTGTTTATAACTCAGACCTTCCCAGCACTCCCCGGGAATTCGGGGGGGGGGGGGGGGGGGGGGGGGGGGGGCACATGGGTGTGTTTATAACTCATGCCGTTCATTGCGA